CAAGGGTGGCATTTTTACTGTGGACGGTCGTGAGGGGGCAGGTGTTAACGGCAGATAACCTTCGACGAAAAGGTTGTTATATAACTGAATGGTGCTATATGTGTAAGATGGATGGAGAAGAGATTGACCATCTATTCATTCATTGTGAAGGTGTTTGTTGGTTGTGGAACGATATTTTGGCTTCACAACAGATGAGTTGGGTGTTTCCAAGGCGTATTGGGGAGGTGGTATGGGCATGGAAGAGAAAGTTTCGAGACAAGAATAGCAAGATTGCTTGGGATCTCATTCCAGGATGCCTTGTTTGGTGTGTGTGGAGAGAAAGAAACAGTCGATGCTTTGAAAATGTAACACGGACGCCAGAACAGTTTAGAGAATTGTTTTACTTCACTTTGTATAGTTGGTTTAAGGCTGCAACTATTAGTCCGGTAGAAGGGTTGACAAATTTCTTGTTGTTTCTATCTTGTTTAAATTGATAATGCACTTCTCGTGTATTATCTTTTGATTTATAAAATTACATGATTACTAATAAAAAAAATCATCGATAACAAAAGATATTGTTGAATTGTCATCGTTTACTCAAAAAAGATATAATTATGCCATATCTAGTAGAATGGCTTTGTGACCTAACTAATAACTTGAAATAACTCTATTTCAAAGAGGTCACGCTAGAGTTTTTTTTTTTTTTTTTAATAATCGTAGATGTCCGGGCTAGCTTGCGCGCACCTCGACTAATTCCATGGGATCCTGAAGTTTACGATAGGATACTCACCTCAGTGGCCTTGAGGGGACTTGAACTGGTGACCATTGGGGAGCAAACCCAAGGCCTGACCAATTGAACAACCCTTCAAGGTTGCCACGCTAGAGTATTTTATCTATATATATTTTTTTGAATATAACCACTAGCGGTATAATTTTGAGTGGAAGCAATATTTAGCTCACACAAATGTTGGCCATGTAGTGGTCAGACTTTCAGTTCCAGTAGTATGTTATTAATAGAGAAAACCTTGAAAAGGAATGTTGGAACACAAGCATTTCTCCTTGCTTTATATTTACATACTTCAGGACTATAAATCGGTAGCATCTGTTGGTTGAGTAATGGCGTCTCTACTTACTGCTGTTTGTTGGCTCGTGAGTGAGGTGGGGTATAGAGGGTTCACGCAGGTGGTATGGGGCAGTAAAAAGGGTAAAGAAAGGTGGTGACATGCCAAAGGGTAGGGGACAGTGAGGAAATCAGATGGTGATCTACATAATTTTGTATAATGAAAAAACCTAACAAATGAAGCCTTATCTCCAATATATAAACTTGATCTAAATATGTTCATAACTTCATATAAATATATAGCTTTTTTTCTTATTTATATCACCTACCATTGCACCATGTAACTGGGAAGAAGTCCATTAAGACCCTGTTTTCGTCCCTTCAAGACAAAACTCTTAAATTCTCATACTCATTTTCAACCACAAATTCACACAATAAAATATTTTACACATGAATCCAAAAATTTTCCCTACTTTTTAACCACACATTCTCCAAAAAATCACGGTTGAAAACATCATTTTTTCTTAATAATGGCCATCAAACAGGGGGTAAATTACACTAAAACTAACAGGCTGACAGGGGAACCCTAACAGGAGACTGTGAAGCCATGAATAGCAGCTTCAATAGAATTCAAATGGCAGACTTGACTATGTCACCGTGATAGTGTAACTACGAAGAATAACAATAGAAGCAATGCATATGTTCATATGCATAAATGAAGAGTAACAAGGAAACAGAATATTTCCAAGCCCGACATTAACCATGCACTTTACAAATCAGAGGTTTACTACTCCAGTGACTCACCCCACATGCAGCCTCACTTTTCAACTCTCACCTCAACGAGAAAGCCCAATCCACCCTTCCTCCCAGACCACTTTGTGCATGTAAGCTGTTTTTGTTGAATGAAATTTCACATTTTCCAGAACTTCAGTATATATGTACGGTCCCAAACTAAGTCCAACTCCGTCTAATGGGAATTTTACACGGAAAGGGAAAGAAATTATACTGCGGTGGCATGCAACAGCTTCTTGTTCATGGAATTCATAACTGCACATGGAATCAAATGAACACAAGCATAAAACAACTAGAAAACTCACAGTGCTGCCAAGTGTTCCCAGCAAGATCTTCAGCCTGCCTTGTTGCTTCTCCGACTTTCTTCCCCCATTTTCCAAGCACATTCTTCACACTGTTCATCGTGTCTACGGACAAAAAAAAAATCACCAGTTTCAGAATTCATCATAGTAAAACTCCACATCAAGCAGTTCCATAAAAAACAACACCACTAACCATATTTAGACACGCCAAATTCACTCCTCTAAATTTAGTGAAAGTTGAATATAAAAAAAAAAAAATTATCAGCTCAGACGCCAAATAACATATAATTAAAAAGCATTACAAGTTACAACAGCTAGATTACACAAATACAAAAAGAAAAAAGGTTGACAAACTAGTGACCTATTTTGTCTGTAATTTCGTTAAATCAGCACATCAAATGCAACCCATGGGCATGCAGCTGGGTTTAATTCAGGCATATAAATATAAATCAATCTTTTCTCTGTTTATGATCATATGTGTAATAAATCACGCCTACATTAAATGCACAACAAATATATCGAAAAACAAAAATCATATCTTTTAATACGCATATCAATTTTCAACACGAAAAAAATCCAAATATGCAATTAGGGGTACAAAATGTACGCGTAAAAGTTCTGACTTTTCAAATTGGTGGACGAGGAATTGCTGGAAGGTGCAGGCGAGTGATTGACATAGGGATTATCAGATCCGCGATCGTAATCCCTCGGTATCGTCGATTCCATCACCAATTCTTGGCTCCACCTTACTGATTTCTTGGATTTCACACTCCCAGCCAATTTACTATCATTACTCTCCTTGGCACCATTATTACTCTCTTCATTAATATTTATATCAGTAATATTCGAATTATCTACTTGCTTCAATGCCGCCTCATTGGCACCGCCGCCAGGATTCGGATCCGGGTCGGGTCCCGGACTCAGGATCGGATATTTAACCGACGCTTCTGGCGACACTGCTTTCTTTTCTGCATGTTCTCCTTTACCACTGGGTTGCTCCATCGGAGAAAAAATAAATTGAAAAACAAGAATCACCTTTCAAAAATTATCGACCAAGCGTGAGAACGATTGGATATTGAAGTGTGACCGTGTTACCGGCAATGGAGGTGATGGTAGTAAGGAGGTGACCGGCGATTTCAACGCCGGAAGTCAAACAAGAATATGATGCCCATTGCCCGCCCTGACCAGGCGAATCGTGAATGACTTTGCCCGAGTAGATTTCCAGTTTCCTTTTATTTTATAATATCCTTGCTTTTGGTGTCCAATTTTATTAAAAATTCATTTACAATAATACATTTTTCAATAAAATAATATTATATATAAATCAAAATTTTTTTCCATTTTTAACCACTCGTTCTTCAAAAATCACTATTTAAAAATGCTTTTTTTTTCCTCTTAAAATGTGTCTCAAACAAGGTTAAATATTTAATTAGTTACTTAGATTTATCAAGCTTTATTCACTTAATTTTAAAATGTTTTTAAGCGATCACTGAATTTTAAAAATGCTTCATTGTGATTGTACTTCATCACTTAATCACCATGTTTCATTAATCATTGAACTTATACCTTCGTCACGCTTTTCATCAAGATTTTAAAGTGCGTAACAATATGTTTCTGTCGAACATAAAGCATTATCTACCTATATTAAAAGAGTGAAGGGGGTGGCACTATTTATAAGCACTATTCATAAGGAGCCGGCTTGGCTCGGCTCAGCTTAGCTTGGCTCGGCTAAGTCCTTTTTTTTTTTTCCTTTTCTTTATCAAGCCGAGCCGATAGACCTTTCGTCTCGGCTCGGCTCGGCTAAGCCACTGAACAGAAACAATTTATTTATTATTATTATTATTTTTATTTACGTTTGATTCAATATTGTAGGTTTAATCTCGGCTCGGCTAAGCCGATGAACCGATTTTTTTTTTATTCTTTTATTTTTTACATTTGATTCAATATTTTAGGTTCTAAATATGCGTTCTAATCGATTTAATTTTTTTTTAAATGTTGAAGTGCGGCCATCCTAAATATATGGTCGACTCGGCCAAGTTTTTTTTTTTTTTTTTTTAATTACGTTTGTTTTTGATTCCAAATGACTTTATGGGTCG